CTGGGTGATCGGGAGAGCCACAAAGAAGTATAGCAGTGATACCATATGGAAGTAAGTTATAAAGTCCTCCTTAAGAGAAAGAGACACTCAAAGAACAGAGAAATGTGGACAGGCACTTAAGTTGGAACATTTAAAAAGTGGTTTCTGGTAACTATCCTACTTCAGAGCTTAGCTGATCAGATCCAGCAAAAAAGGGCATCTGATATGCAGAACTCGTTGGTGAGAGGGACAGAGAGAGCCTAAAGTAGCTATAAATGAGAGAAGGTACAATCTGAGAACAACCTCATTTCTACAGGGTAAAGAAAACAATGCCAAAATCTAAAGCAGCAATCTTATAGGGGAGAGTCCTTAGAGATGGAAGAAAGCTCTGGAAGAGACTAAATCTCTGTCTTGCCCTTAAAACCTGGGCAGACTGGAATTTAGATGATAATGGGCATCATGTGCCAATACCTCATGATGTGCTAAACGGCATCATAGAACCCTGGAAAAGTGTTAACCTCTTTCCCTCTTTTCTAGAGCTAGTTTTTTTTTCTTTAATCTTTTAAGCCTCAGTTTCTCATTGCAGGTGTAGTACCAAGGTTCCAGAAATACTCCTATATTTTATCAAGTTGTTTGAGAAATGGAGAAAAAATTGTCTTGGCTCTAAAACATAAAAGAAACTTCAAAACGAAGTTAATATGTGTTTCAAGAGAAACGTTATATAAATCCCTTTAATTTTTTCATAACAAAACATCATAGTATTTACATGAGACACTGCTACATTTTCTTGTGTTTCTGTAGGATGCTGGACGAGTTCTCTAAGGGAATATCCAGGGCTTATGTAACCTTTGAATTGGCTTTTCTTCTACGAGGCATAGTGCAGACAAGGAAGGTCAAGAGTGTGCTAAGTCTGGGCAGGCAAGGAGTGGAAGAAACCACCTCCAATCACCACAACCAGACACATGTGTAAGAGGAGGCAGAGCCTGGGACAGCTGCAAAGGCTGCTTTCACTAAGTGCTGGAAGGGACAGGCACATGTCTTTTTTGAGTTGGTGCAATCTGGTTTCTGATTTTGGAAAAGGCTATAGTAGGGTTTCCAATCCAGGGGGCTGATTGCCAGCAAAGGATTCTGATTAGCAGGGAGAGCCAGATAGCCACTTAGTGTTCTGTAAGGGTATGAAAGGAGAATTGACAAAAATAAAACCAAAGGGTCTGGTTTCTAAAGCATGGAGACAGACAACAAAAAGAAAGAATGAGTAGAACGCCATAGAACAGAGGAGTGGAAAGTCAGTCAAGGAACATAGGGATTCAGAGATCCCAAAACTCCAAGGGTCACCTGTTACCTGACTAGCTGCAGGGAAATCCCAGCAACACTGAAGAAGGTCAACTATTAAGACTGAGATTTTAGAAGTAAGTTGTGTTTGGTACATGTGCCAACTCCTCATGATACATTGCAAACATGTAATAATAAAATTAAAAAGCAAAAAGAAATGATTATCAGTGGTGCCCACGGCCTAATTCTATATGCCTCTTTGTTGAAAGGCCTGGAGTCAGAATCTGAGTAAAAACAGGAGGATTCAACCAGAGATTAATATCTAGGACCCAGGACCCCTTCATGAACCTTGAGAAATAGACCATGGAGCTGCCATCTTTTGGGTCAGGTTCAGAGGCAAGTGGGGCAAAGGCCCCCCATTCAAGGGCAGAAGGATAGAGCTCGGAAACACTGGAGCAGGGCAAGGACAGAAATTTACAAACTCTTTTAACCATATATATTTCAGAGAAGTGTGTGTCTTTCTGGCAGGGACTATAGTCCTAAACCCAAAAACACTGTCATAAAAGAGAAGTCTGAAAAGCAGAAGAAATCTGAGCAGTTGCAGCTCTATAGTCATTTAGGGTGGGTGCAGAGGCTGATGACTCTGGCTGGAGAGCAGGATGGAGCACTAGAGGCATCCTTTCTGGCTAGCCCCAAGATCAACTGAAGCTTGTCAGGTTACCTGAGAACAAAAAATGACAGGGCTAGGGTGCCAGCAGCAGAAAGATTACCTGGACAAGCTGAAGAGAGAAGTCACTGGGGTGTAGATCATGGTAGCATTGATTACTTGAATCCTAGTACAATAAAAGAGATCCAGCAACTGTAAGTGACTATGGATGACAGTCCTCAGGGAATATCAGGAAGATGATTCATGCATTTTGGAAATTTCTCTGGAAGAGGCTATATTTATTGATTTTCTTCTATTACCTTAAAGAGAACCTGCAGATAGCATAACCAAGATTTTTCCAAAATGATATATTTCCTCAGTGGAGGTATTGCTATTTCTAATTTACTAGGAATTTAATGAACCACAATCTCAGGATTACTAGCATTCCAAAAGCCTAAAACTTTTTAAATCTGATTTTAAATCGAATGGGTATAACATGTGGCATTATGCCAATTATTCAACTGGAACTCAACCCTTACTCTTCACATGGTAATGGAAGAAAAACAGTAATTGTCTCTTCTGCAGAAGAAGAAAAATAATCTAAAAACCAATGATTAAATACATGAGTACATATTTATTAGTCCTTTTCTGTTATAGGCATCACTACCTAAGGGTTGTAGGTGTAATGCTTTAGTTCTCAAATTCTTTATATACTTATAAAAGTTCTTCCAGAACTTCCAGAGTGTGGCAATTTTCATAGTGTGAACTACTATATCCCATTTATTTCTCTATTTTTAGATTTTTCTTATAGCAGCACAAATTGAAAGCATACTGTATCACTATAGTTTTTCCAACTGGTATCCAATCAGAAAATCAAAGAAAGGTAGTATGTTTTCAGCACTGGATATTGAACACAGGGCCTTCACATGGAATTAGAACCGCAGACCTTTTTAAAAAATGTTTTACTTTGAGATAGGGCCTTGCAAGCTTGTTAAACCACAGAATTTGAATTTGAACTTGAATTTGTTAGCCTCCTGCCTCAGCCTCCAAAAGTACTGGGTTTGCAGGTGTGCTCTGCATGGTTGGCTGAATTCTTTATGGCCTCAAGATTTACTCTAAGCCTACTGACAATAAATCCATTGCCCATTTTGTTAAACAATTAGTTTTATAAGCATTTACTTACAGGCCTTTAGTGGATAAAGTTGCTGATTACTGTGAGGTACAAAAAAATGTTATATGTTAACACTTAATGCTTAGTGAAGACTCAACGAAAAATACTCTGAGGCACAATTTGATACCCTTCTGCTGGAAGTTCATTGAACCAGACTCTATACAGAATCTAGTAAATTCTGAATGATTCTTTGATTTTTGAGCATACCACATTTATTAGATACTGAATGATATTTGATTAGTGGAAAATGGGGGCTTACATAATATTGAGGTATTTAAGTAGTTTAACTGGCTCAAAAATTACATGTATTGTATGTAGTCAGGCAAATTTGTAATCCCAGCTGCATGAAGGCCACCGGTGGAGGATTGTGAGATCTAGCCTTGGCAATTTAGCAGGATAAGATTGGCCTTAAAACAACCTAAACTCTAAAAATAAAAGGGTTGGGAGTATAACTCATTGGAAGTGCTAGTGCCTACCATTTGGTAGGCCCTGGGTTTGAGCATTAGTACAAAAAAAAAATTACATTTAATTTCTATGTTTCTGTCATACACCAAAAGTTAACACAGAACCATAATAAGGACAGCGGTTTTAACTGTTATTGTTTAGAGCTTGGGGATGTTGAAATGTTTATACTAAAAGTTTCCCCTTCTGCCAATCCCTCCCCAATGTTAACTTCCACTTCTACTTTTTAAACTTCTAGAACCCCTTAAACTGCATGAATACTCTACCAACCCAATGTAAACTTGCTACACTGATCTTACCATTGTTCATGAACTTGTGCTGATTATACCTCAAAACATGTTTTGTTCCTTAACACTATGTAACACGGCCACATTATAAATTTGAAGGGGCATCCTGCCCTTTAAACTCCATAAACCTTTGGATGAATTGTCCTTTTATTAGCTGCAAGCTGGGAATAATTTCTACTATAACTCGGCTAATTTTTTTAGGAATAAAAAAGATGATTTAAGTATATTCCTTGCGTAGTATTTGACACATAGTAAAACAGTATTTTCCTACCTCTTCCCTTTCTGGGGAAGTTGGGTTAGCGACCATAAGTTAGCTAGTGTAGTTATAAAAAGGGCTGGAATCTAAGGAGTAATGATATTCATGCCTGTGCATGAGGGCTTGAGCATGCCATGGCAAAGTGGGTCTCTAAAGCTTCTATTGAGGTTTACTACGGGAAGCTAAATCATGTTTCTCCCGTGGCATGTTGAACAGATTCTCTGGACGCAGGGTTCTCTAACCCACAGTGGCATTCTTCAAATGTCTGCTTTATTCCCCGACCGGTCCTGGGTTGCTGTCTAGCTTTTGCAAATCCAAATCCAAATCTCGGCACACTCTCCCCTCTGGCCTGAGAGTTGCCACTCAGATAAAGCCGAAAACCGTGGCACCTCACGTTATCGTCTCTGAACAGCCGTTTATGTTTCAGCAATTCTGAGCGGAAGAGCTGGGCCAAAGTCGCCTCTTTGGTGCTCCAGACTGGTTCAACAGCAATAAACGTGCGCAGAAACGGCAGCCGCATTCCGCGGCTCAGAAGACGTTATCGCGGGCTTTTTAGGCAAGGAAGGTTTCCCGCAGGTCCCAAAAGGCTCCAGCCCAAGCAAGATGGGATCTCGTCCCAAGTCGGGCCAGGGAGGCCGAGCGGCCGGGAGGCAGAGCTCGCCCGCCGCGCGCCCAGCGCCGCCCGGAAGTGCCCGCTCCGGGCCAGCAGGAAGTGTCTCGCGAGCCGCCGCCGCCGCGCACGCGCCCTTGCGGGCTGGGCCGGGCTGGAGTCGGACCTCGGAAACCGGAGCCCCGACGGGCCCCGGGCGGGGTGGGGGGGCTCGCGGGGGCGGGAGCGGCGGAGGCGGCCGCCCCTGGCAGCGGGTTTGTTTATCTCGGGGAAGAAGTTTAGGAGCAGGAGTCAGGGAAGCAGGGCGGACCGGGAAGGAGGGATGCAGTTCGGCAGAGGCGGCCGCCACAGGGACTCGCCGCCATCGCCCTCGCCTCAGCAGCCTCGGTTCCCGTGGCCGCCTCAGCCGGAGAGGAGCCGCGGAGCCTGCCCGCCGCCGCCGCCCCGCACGTCCCGGTAGGTGCCCCTCCCGTCTGGGCTTACCCCGCGGCTCCGTCGCTCGCCCCTCCCCCCGGGCCGGGCCGGCGGCCTCCGCGGTCCCCCTGCCCGCGCCCCCGGGACCGTGAGTCCAGCGCCGCGGGGCCGCCTCTCCGTCCGGCCCGCCCCCCGCACCGCCCCCGCGTCTGCGGCGTCCCCACTCGCCGGGGATGTCCCCGCCGCGCCCCGGCTCCCCAAGCCTCGGGCTGCCTGCGTCCCCTTCAGTTTCCTCCACCGGCCTCGCCCCTTTTCCTCAACTCAGACTTCCTCGTCTCCTACCTGGGCATCTACGCCCTAGCTTTATATCTGTTTTGTGCCAGACCTTGTATTGTATTCTGCCCCGAATGCCTAGCCCCAGCGCCCACATTCTGACCTCTTCCAAATACAGACGCTAGAAACTATCATCCTCGTTAGCCCACGATAGGGCAGGTTCTCAGCTCCCCAGACCACTGCGCCTGCACTCCGGTGGTCCTGTCCTCTTGTGTCTGAGCACACCCTGGCCTTCTCTTGAATTGTCACAGTTACCAGAGTGCGTATAACTAGCACTGCGGTTCAGGTCCAAGCCTTAAACGTCCAAATCTTGACTGTCCCTTTTTGATCTCATCTATCATCCTTTTTCCAAGTTATTTTTGAATCTGTGTATTGGTGTATTGACTCGCTTAAAAGGGAAGCGATAGTAGAATTTTCTCAAAGTAGTCACAGGTCCCAGTAGAAACAAGATTCATTTTCTAACTTTTCACTTATTCTTCCATGACCATGAAATGGAAGAAGGGAATTTTATTCAGTCATCATCATCTTTTCCAGCTTTGTCATATACTGTCTATACTGTATTTGAATAATTCTGGGCCTAGTTTTTGATACTATTCTTCCCACTTCTTCCTTTTAGTTGAATCCACTGTTTCTTGAGCTGGTTACTGAAGCAGTAAAACGTTTATGTTTTAGAAAATTGCTTCTCTTTCGGTATAATGGGGTGAGGAACTATTTGAGCTTATTCCATATTTGACAGAAATGTTGTCTTGTGGTTAGGAGCTCAGACTTGAATTGCCAGGGCCTGCCACTTACCAGTTTTTGTTTGGGCAAGTTATTTAACCTCTGTGTGATTTAGTATTCTTATAGCTGTAAGGGTGCTAGTGGTTGCACAGGGTAATGCAGGTCAAACACTTAGAACAGTGCCTGGCACATGGCAAGTGCTTGATAAGTTATCTTTGTCATCGTATAGTTTGCCTTGTTTTAACTATTGGTAAGTTAATTCTGAGAGAATAAAGTGAGAATGGAAAGCCGTTTTCTTCTACTTTTTCTAACTTAACACCCTTTTGTTCTAGATATTTTTATTATGTAAATTCCCATGATTTCAAAAATACAGGGGTTTCTATTTTCAAGTAAATTACCAAGTTACAGATAGATCAGTTCTTATTTAAAACTTCTAAAACTTTATTTTCTTTTTGAGAACAAATGGGAGTTGAAATCATCATAATGGAAAGTGAAAATTTTACATTAACAATTTTAGTACTACAAGCTAAATAGTCAAAGCTAGTAGGGCATTCTTCATACCCATTTGACTTTCTCCTGAAAGACAAGGTAGAGCTGTGTCTTCTCATAGAAGAATGGTAATTGTTTTTCTTTCATTCATACTCACATGACTTTCTTTGCTTGGCATCATCACATTTTAGTCGTTTAAAAATGCTGAAAGTTTTTGCCACATGTGCTTACCTCTTGTGCACTATTGATATATATTTATATGATTTATTTAAACTCTAAATAGGTATTTATTGTACTGTTCTAAATAGTAAAAGTTTGAATTCCCATTTGCTGTCCTACTCACATGTTCTATAAAATATATGTGGTCTATATAACGTGCACATATATATGCACATGTAACTATCAAACTGTCACCTAAAATAAGTTTTGTGCTGCCCATGGAATGTTCTCCATACTTTGGGTGGTACTGCATTTGCTATGGCTATTCATTGGCCTATAATATTCGTCGTTCTCTTCTGTGAATTCAGATTCTACCTGTTTTCCACCTCTTAAAACTTCCACATAGTCCAGCTGACAGTTTCTTTTTTTTTTTTTTTCTTGGTCTTCTAGAGTGTTCATTTTGTATTTTTGACGATGAAAGTATAGGCAGTACAACTTGAAGAAAAATGGCTTTCCTAGAATCTGAATTAAAGCTTACAGGAACTTTTTAGGTGTAGGACTCTACCCCTTGGTACCTCTCGGGACCTCCTCTGAAAATCCAACAGTTGTTTTATTTCTAATAAAATTCTCCTGAGCTTCTCCTCAAGAAACTTTGTAGGTATGGACTAAAATTGACATTTTTTGGTTTTGTATGTTTTCATTCTTTCCAACAATATTTAATGAGCACTTGCTGCTTGCTAGGCATTGGGGAACACATGAGAGTGGCCTTTCTCTATTATGTTAAAATAATAAATTGAGCTCTAATATGCTAAGTCAGCAGTGGCAAACCTATGGCTTGTGTGCCACACTGGGCTGTTGTGTCTAAAAGGTTCACCATTACTGCTGTAAGTCATTAGAGATTGGTAATGAATTACTTAATCATCTCTGCACATTTAATGATGTACCATGCTTAGAGAACTGAGTAAATAGTATCCTCATCCGTTTTTATAGGGTTTAATTCCCATATAGTCCTGATTGGGAAAAAGCTGTATTAAAGAATAACAATAATAATGCAATGTTTATTTTGTGTTTTGGCTTTTTAAATGTAATGTAGCAGGCAGACATTAAATAGGTAAGCAGATAAAATTCGAGATAGTAATCACTGACAGGGAACATTGTGCCAAGCTTTGTTTCACTATATTAACTCATTTAAACTCATAGTAGTCCTTTAAAGAAGGCTTTATTGTTATTCCCATTTTATAGATGAGAAACTGAGAAAAAGATAACTTCCACAGAATTGTATAGTGCAGTAAACAGTGCAAAATGGATCTAGACTATGTTATCTCAGATTTGTCACTTCCTTGTTGATTAGTTTACATAAGATTCTCATCGCTCTGAAAATCTTTTTTATTTTAAAAATTTATCTTGACAGTAGAGTTTTCCTGATTTTTTTTTTTTAGGCTTAACAAAATAAAGAATATTTAATTTTTGTAAAGCACACTTTTATTCCAAGCCTTAAATATGATCAGATACTCAAGACATTCATATTAGTGTGTCTACTCACTGTTTTGTGTCCTTTATTTGTTCACTAGCACAAGTTTATTGAGCAGCTTAGCTTGTCACACTCTTGCTAGTCTCTGGACATACAGGTAAATTTTTTTTTTAAAAGGGGTGGGGTCGGTGTTATATTCATAGAGGCAACAGTCTTTGTCATTGTATAGTTTGACTTGTTTTAACTATTGGTAGGTTAATTCTGAGAGAGTAAAGTGAGAAGGCAAGGCTATTTTCTACTTTGCTTAATGGGAAGCTAAAAAACTGAAAAACAGCAAAAATAATTATGCATGAAACTGCTAATGAAGAAAATTATCGTAAGTAATGAAAGGGCACTAGTCCATCAGAGGATACTTTCTGAAGAAATAAGGCTAATCAATAAGGAAGTGACAAATCTGAGATAACAAGGGATAACATACTCGATCTATATTGCCTAGCTGCACTGTTCACTGCACTGTATAATTCTAGGGAAGTTATCTATTTCTTAATTCCTCATTTTAGGCTGAAACCATGGTGATCCAAGTGAGGTAAATAGTTTCAACTTTGTAGAATATAACAAAGTTATAATTGATAACTTTGATAATATAATAGGATTGAGTTGATAATACAGTAGGGTAGCTTATGGGAAAAGAGAACAAAGCAGATCACAATGACCAAAACCTATACTAAACATTTTGTGTTTAGTCTTAAGAGCAGTAAGCTGTCAGAGAATATTAAACAGCTGAGTAAGTTATTCAGATTTTTACTTTCAAAACATCACTTGGTTCCTTTATAGAGTACATACTGGAGAAACAAGTGTAAATGCAGGGTAGCCAGTTAGGTCAGTGCTTCTCACATTTACTTGTACGAAAGTCCAATTTTGTTTTAATATTCAGTTAGTGCTGATGCTTTAGTAAGACACAATAAAATGAATGTTTTGACGTGTTAGGTTGCTATGAAAGTTTCTAGGAGTTTATGTATGGATCAGTATTAGTTCACAGACCATATTTTGCATAGCTTTGATTTCAACTATGAGTAATTTAAGAATCTAGGCATATAACTCATGCATAAGAGTTTGAGCTCCACTGGAAGCAAAGCAGAGATACAATAATTTAGATATGAGGTTATGACAGTGATATAAAGTAGCTTGAATTGGCATATATTTGGGAAGCAAAATTGCTAGGATTTGGTAATGGTTATGGTTTGAAATACTGTGAACAAGAGAAGGCTGATTTCCTGGGCCAATAGTTCCTGTACCTAAGGTAGGCCTGGGAGAAGCAAGTGTTTTACTTAGTAATATCAGGAATGAAGAGGTATTAATCATAAGATTTGACAGGTTAAACCTGAAAGTCAGATAAGTGGAGATGTCTAATAAAGTTGGATATATAGGTTTGGAGCTCAACAAAGAAATTGGAACTGTAAATAAATTTGACAATAACATAAAGTTTATTGTTTATGCCTTGAAGTGAGGGAAGAAATTGCTTAAGAGAGAAACAGAAGATGCAGAAAGAGGTCTTAGGCCTAAACCAGTGGATCGTCATCATTTTAACACTGGAAAAAAGAATTGCAACAAAGGATACCAAGAAGCATTAACCAAAAGTTGGAGGAAATTTTTTTCAGTATTAGGAAAGCCAAGGCAATAAAGTATAAAAAAGGTGGGAAAGACCAGTCCCCCTTTTTTCTTTTTCTTCTCTTTTTTTTTTTTTTTTTTTTTTTGGTACTGAGGCTCGAACTCACGACTACACGCTTGCAAGGCAGGCACATGGGCCACTGAACTAAATCCCCAGCATGTCAACTTTTTTAATGCTGCTGAAAAATCAAATTGATGGCTA